TGATTTTGGAGCCGAAAATTGGGTCATTTGTAGTAAACGATCTCAATTAAGCCCACTGTAATTAATTAATTAGAAGGCAAATGTATTCACAAAACTAATGTACAAGCAGTTAAACCCAGTGTGCAAATTGAAGATGTGATATTATCGTTAAATGCCAGTCAAACATTCGTGATTGTGCACGAGCGAATGACCGAGAGAGACGGAAGTAATGCCCCTCACTTTTTACAGCAAGCACGTTTGATGCATAAGCGCTGGTCTGGAGTGAGAGGAGGCAGCTGACCAACGAGGAATGCACCGTTGTCCAGTTAAGGCAAAGAAAGCACGCCTAACGTCGACATACAACTAGGGGAATATTTTTGTTTCTGGATGTGTCTAACTAACCTGGCGGACACATTCGCTTTAGCTTTCTGCTTTTAAGGACTCCCTCAGGTGCCTGGTCATGTTTATAGTGCATTGGTTGTGCGTCAACATGCCCTCACATGCTGCATGAAAGAAGAGAGTTTTTTACGAACAGGACAGATGATGAAACGCTTGCACAACTCGTGACTCATGATGCTACCCCTCATTTGAAAACTTGTCCCTTGTGAGCATGATGCTGTGAGCGATGTAAATGGCAAGTCCAGAGCGATGTTGCTGTGGTTGGTGGAATCCGTTTTGGTAAGGTATCATTAAAATTGTTGTGTGATGCTCACGTCCTGTGTGGGTTGCACAATGCGGTGGTTATTAACTTTTGAATCAAGATTGACATAATTTTACAAGACGACAGGTGGAAAACATCAAGGTCACAGTAAGAATGACGAGGGCTTTTAAAACAAAACCCGATTAAGGAATGGAATTTGAAGTTTAATAGGATTCAGAAGTGCTCGGAAGTTAGATTGACTCAAGGAGTGGCCTCTTCCTTCCACATGGTAGCCATTAATTTCACAAGAATTGTAAAGAAATTAAAATTAGCCATTTCGAATTCGCAATTTAACATCATGCATTCTTGATACTTTGTTGACGCGGCACTGCCTCGGGCAATACGAAATAGCATAAGTGTAGAGTACGTGCAGTCATGGTAGAAGAAGAGGCATCGTGGTGTGTAATAGCCAGGTTACGCTAGGGTACGAGTCATCAGGTTGAGCTTCCAAAGACGTGCTGGGTAATAGTAATGCACGCAAAGTACCTTGTTTTCAATAGGGAGGTTATTAAACACTCTAAAGTCGCACTTCTTAAAAGAAAACTGATGACTCGTTATGGTACACACTGACTTCATGTTTCTCCCCGCAAAGCTTAACGCGTTGTCAATGGATGCGGGAAGGATGATGCATGTGCAGTCATTTCTGGCGAACTCCATTAAATATGGTAGCCAGTGTATTTGTAAGAGTAATTTTGGTGACATTGGTGAAGAGGGCTAAGCGCGAGATAGCAGCTTCACCAGAAGGCACTGAATAATCTACGAAAACTTGGTTCGTGTTGACCATGGTTTTTTGCAGTTTCAAATGTTGCAAATGTTCCTTCTGCTAGTCAATCACAGTCACTGCAACGGCACCGTTCATTAACTGCCATCCCAAGAAATTTGATGAGGTCCTGAATTTGGTTGGCTGATAGCACTTACTTTGTTCTAACTACCACCTTGAATCAATGGGTATTTGAAAAGGTCATTGCATGTTTTTCCAATGTCTCACATTTCATGGCTTGAAGTAATGAAATACCTGATGCTACCTGACGCTTCAAATAAATTAGAACGCCCCTAGGAAATAACTAGAGGCGAAATGTGGTGAAATTGATTCACACTAGTAGGATTGAAGGTAATATTTACAATATTTGGCTTGCCGGAAAGTTTTCGATTTTGATTGCAGATGTTGCGAACATTTAGGTTATGAAAATGGCAACCTTAATTATGGGCATATGAGACGTTGATTTAAGTATTGTCCGTGAAAAATAGGTATGCGTCGCGTTTTGTAACGTCCAATCCAGATAGTGGGAAACCACTTGCTGACACATGTATCCCAGGCTGTCGCCGCAAGCAACGCTGCAAAACACAAGGCTAACTGTTGGGTAGATGTTGAATACAGAGTTAGCCCTGATGCTCGATGATGTTTATTCTATTCATGCTAATGGCCATGCTACTTTGCTTGATGTGTTTTCTAAAAATATCCCATTGAACAAGACAAGGGTTGAATTTCGTTAGAGGCCTGTTGAATACTAGGCTTTGATAAACCTGCCCTCTCTAGATTATAAACTGCTTAAATTTGCCATTTTATGCTGCATACCAGTCTTCCCCTCATTTGCACTTTCGATCCACTACACGCGATGGTGATGTGGTAAAAGTACACAGTCCTGGCAAATACGCCAGGTTTTACTTTGTAAACATGGTGTGGCATTAGTTGCTGCGAACGTGATCGGATTGCTTTAACTGCTCAAAATCTCATAAAATAAATCTGCAAAATAGTAAAATGTCATCCAATCCCACTGAATTAATCCTAACTGTCCATCGTTTGACTTTAAGACTGGTCGTATCCAAGAAAGATTCGGTCTGAGACTTCCAAACCAAAGCGTTAACAAGGGAATCCCAGCAAAGTTGAAGTTGCATTCAACCCTGGGAAAGTGGTTATTTCGAGTGCATTTCAAACCTTTAGGTTGAAATGTTTTGGCCATGGACAGTGTCTCTGTGAAATATGTTGATGTTTTGTATTAACATTGTCACACAAAGCGTCGTCGTCATGGTTATTTCATTGTATCGAGACATTACTGTTACTACTACAGCAACTCTTATTGCATTACTTGCTTTTAAGTACACAAATTGAACCCTGAGTGAATTGGAGTTGTTCGATGTTGTTATACTGTCATGGGTGGCAAATTTGTTTAATTCGGGCGAAGGCGAAATGCGAAAGTCAGACAGGCAAGTGAAGAAAAAGGAGCGAGGAACAAATTGCTTGCTGCAAAAGGAATTATACGCTGAGACCGGAAGAAGGCGTTGCTCTTGTTGCTTGTGTTAGGGGTTGCTATTTTCACTAATGCTACTGATAATCGGGGCCCTTCCGATAACTGAGAGGTCATTTTGAAAATTCACCTTGGAGACCTTGTGTACGCGGGCGATCGGGTTTTTACTGCTCGTGGTCAAGGCAACTTGTTAGCGATTGGTTAGATTCCGAAGACGATAAACTGTTTAGACACAGCAGCACACGCACGAACGCACGCAAGTTCGCCTCCACGTGACTGCACACTCGCGCTGCACCGATGCTGCAGCGATGCTCCCTGTCCGCATTCCCTGCGCCAAAGTTGACCTACCAAAACAGGCCCTGCAGCTGGGCGTTTGACTGGTGGGCCTCGGGTGCATCAATTGGCTGCAACAGAACTTGCACAACTGCATCATCAAGTGAATTTCAGAATCGCCCAACCACAAGGACGGCGGTCTAGGCCTCAATCGGTAAACTTTTGTATTATGATAATTCATGTATTCTGCTTAATGATCAGCTTCCGTTACCAAAACTAATTGCAACCACAGTGTTGTGTGACTAGAGGTACTTGGTGTGTGCCATCAGGAAACAAGATAGGTTGAGGTGGTTTTGTGGTATAATTTAAATAAGGTTTGCCGTGACGGTTTTTTAGGACAACCAATCATGCGTTTTCGTAAGACTGTTCGATTAGCAGTTTAAATCCTACGACATATAATTAATTGCACCAAGCATTTTTTGTTGGCCACTGCGTAGTCGTGCAGGTTGAAGCACTGTAATTAGCCGCAGCAGTTGCTGTCATGAAGAAGGCGTATAGTGAAAGAGACAATCGACATGACAAAGCCGAGCGCAGCAGTCACACAAGCAGCCACTTTAGCAATGCGGATATTGCAAATCCATTTAGGGTTTTAAATGCGATTTTGATGTTCCTTAAAAAGAACAGTTTAGTAAAAATCGACCTGCTGATCAATTAAAGAAGCGACTGACAAGCGCTGTGGTGCCACCCACACATACATCGACATTGGTTGTTTGTAACTGCACGAAACTGTGTATTAAGAATTGGTAAATGGTCAAATGCTCGGGCCCAAGCTGAGCAGATAGCTGGCAAAGCAAACTTCATTGTTGCTGTCATGTGCCTCAGAAATGGATTGTGTAGTATAATTTAGAGATTATTCATTCAAACAAATTTACGTAATTTAACTTCAAATGGGCATTTCATGGAAACGTGCATACTTTCTTGTGATTTTGTTTCCAGCCAGCTGTTTTAGTTAGTATTTAGAACAATATGGCAAAGCATTGAATAAACATAATTTCCATGAGCCAGATATCTGCCTCAATTAGGCTTGTCTTCGTTGATACAGAAGGAATTGTTACAGATATATTACTTGAGAAAATTTTACTCATTTACAAAAAGTTAAAATGTGCTTATGTGTGTTATATTATTTTTGTGTTACAATAATTTGCACTGGCTAATGCTGACTAAAGATTAACAGCAGTTTAAATAGGCTTAAATCTCTCACATGACCGTTCTTTATGTAAGCAAAACTAATGCAAAGGTCATGCTTGGCTATATAATGTAAAATACGCCTTTTTCCACAGAATTTGTACCCAGCGCAAAGCAATTGCATGTTGGAAGCAGTCTGAGATTCCACGTGATAAATAAGGTCTCTTTTAGGAGTCGAATTGTAGCCATAAATACACCGAATATGACACTACTCATTATTGCTATTCTCCATAATCCATTCATTTCAAATTTAAGAGGCTGGTTAAGTGTGTGGTCAGTCCACACAATGACAGTCTGCGTAAATGTACAATCCACGGAAACGCGCTAAACACAGAAAAAATCAGTGGACAAAATTACAACTGGAATACTGGAAAGTAGAAATGTTTGGCTTCAAAAAATCACCTTGATACTAATTACGCGACTTAGTTATGTGGTGGAGGAGGACTTGGGCTAGAACATACACTGAAGTCTTCAATGATGATCAATTCCTAGGTTCTTAAAGATACATTCTAATACTTGCTAACTTTTTATTGGTGTTTTGTAGGTGGTGCAAAGCAATGTCGAGGAAGAGTAAGTCAATTTTGCATAAATGTTTAATCAGTATTAAAGTGCGAATCATTTTATAAATGACCGCCATCAAGTAAAACAATACCTAGAGAGCACAAGTCAGCATTATTCCTGTAAGTAGTCAAAACTCCTCAAATGGTGCGTGGTGAGGTGCGGTGGAAACAGTCTGTGACGACTTACACAGCGCGCCTTCTTTCGTTATTATGCGAACTGAACAGGAATAACTTTGTGTTCAGCATGATTTACTCGGCTAAGCAGATACTAGCCACATATTACACAGAGGCTTTGGGGTAATTTCCAACGTATTTACCTCCATTACCTTTTTTTAGCTCTGCCAAGCGTGTCGAGTAATCCATTCAAACAAGCGGACAAAGCCAGCAATCCTGCAGGCGTAAAGCCAAAGTGAGTGGTTTTCCAACGTTTTCAGATTTACTTGTGTTGTTATAAGAATTGTTGAAATCAGAATATCAACTTTAGCCCGTTCCAAAATGACGTATCCAAATTGTAGCACTGTAAATTTTACCCGGCACATCTGTCTACCTAGCTGGTTCTTTTGTCGTCTCACAAGGACTTCGCGTAGAACCGCTCATAAACAACTTGTCCAGTATTTTGAACTCATTCAAATAACAGTATTTGGAATAAAACCGTAGAAATCCGCATGCTAAACAAATATTTTACTTGTATTGTTAAAAGTTCGTTTAAATGAGTACGCAGTTGTCAACGTTTGCGATAATGAACGCATGTAGACCATCTACATCCGTATTTCACCTACATATCAATTCTAACAAATTGTCTGTTTGCGAAGGAATTCAAAAGTTATGGCAAAATGTAGTTTTGCCAGAGGATTTTAATAACTCTGCCATCCTGCTTTTGACTTACATTGATAATTGCTGACACACACCTGCCAATAATTAATCTAAGTTTGCCAAATGTCCGCCGATATTAAAGAATGAAAACTCCACTTCCCAGAATTGGAAGCAGCCAATATATTTGAATTATGCTTAGCAGTTTAATTAACCAATGAAAACTCAGTTTAACGTTGCCTCAAGACATCTGGTGATTGGTCTGTTTGCGTTATTGCGCTCTAGGAGGTAGGTGAGAGTAGTTTTGCGCAAAAGTGAGTTGCCATGTCGGGGCCCTGTGCAACCTCACTCCAGTCAGTCACCAGAAATTACTCGTAAGTGCAAAAGTGGCCTGTATTATTTAATCAAATTGAAAATGCATGCACTACTTAAATCACCAAACAATGGCGTGAAAATTAAGACACAGTAAACAGGATCTTATGAAAGCAAACTTCGTGCAGTAAACGTGCCTAAAGTTCCTGTTCAAACGACTAAGACGTTGTTTTTGTGAAAAACTCCTGACACCCAATATTTAGTGATTTCCACTTCCATGAACATGTTTTTGTTCAGTTTGCTAATTAAATCCTGACGTAAACAGGTAATAGCAAATGCACCTTTAGAAATGAACTATGCATGGTCGGTGGGAATTTTGCGGTGGTTGCAGACAGCCGTTCCGCCCAATTCGTTACTCGTTCAGGCCAAATCCTGGTTGCAGAAGCCCACGTCCCGCCCAAGTGACAGCACGCTTTTCGCAATCGCGCTGGCACACGTAGTTCCATTAGAGAGGTGATGATTGCACCATTCAGGCTAAATGCGCCTTCCAGGTCCCGACATCCAAACTGCACATCTAATCTTCACTAAAGCACGACAGTGGAACCTAATTTTTGTATTAATCAATGTCAATTAAACACTTGATTGACCGCGCACACAATTAACCTAGTAGTTCAAAATTTCTCATCTCGAAACCACCTTGAGGTAGATTTCCGTAACCCTGAACACTGTCCCGTCGTCATACATGAAAGATGGCCACGACAGTTTAATAAATGCTGGACAACCTACGCTGCATAAATAAGGTAATTGCTACAACGTAAACGTCTTTTCTGAGAACCTGCATGATTTCCACGTGAGCAGATGCGTTTGGTAGTCAGGTCATCACACAAAGCTACACTAATAGACTAATCACCAGTGTTTTTTTAATTTGGCAAATTCTCTTGCTTCCTGTCAAGTGGTACTGGATGTGCAGTATTTAATTTCCCTTTAATTGTGCCACTGGTAAATGTTCTTACCTGCGTGCTTAAATACTTGCTTAGATTTTTGCCCAAATAAAGAAAGTGCTGGCTGTTATTTATGGCGAGTTTTTTCACAGCAATGACGTGCAATGCCAATAATTAACGCATACCCTACTTGTGACTTGAGATGTCAGTGGAAATTTTAGTTGAAGATCGTTGCACGTAATGAGTTATGTCGTGACCAAAGTACCTACACTAGAGTTTCTTGACGGTATAGGTCTTTAAAATTTCACGAGTCCCATTATTCAAGAATATCACGAAAATGTAGGGTAATGCCTGGCATAAACAGGTTAAAATTAAATCTTGTGGATACTTTGTCCCAAATGCATGTGTCAAGTGGGTAATATTTGTGAATAGCACATTCAGACAATCCGAATAACTGATAACCCTCTTGCAATGCTCTTACGAATTTAAAAATGTGCATTTAGCCCTTGTGAACCAGGTATAAAATTGTCAAACAGCACACAAGCATATTTCTCATCTATAGCCATTTTAAATGAAAGGAAATTTAGTTTTTATCTGATTTTTCAGATCCTCGTTTCAGACGATTGCGCTTGCATAAGTTTAAAAGGTTTAGCTTACTTTTCGCGTCTCTTGTAGTTTTCTGGGGGCAAAGCGGCCAGGAGCCGGCGCCACTGCCTCGCCCAAGGAGATTATGCTGCACTGGTGCCAGGCCATGACAAAAGGATACCCGGTCAGTGGGTGATGCCCGAGTGTATTGCCGATGCATTCACATCGCGTGCAGAGGCCGTCTAATGCGGGCCATGAAGCACCCTCTGGTTATAAAATCGTCGTGTTCTGTGAATGTTTACAGGCACTCTAACCTTTTGCGTCGAATCACATCTTCTGCACCATCATTATATAGGTTTTGTATTTAATTCCCCTTTGAGGCAGAGAGATGTGTGATATGGAATAGTCAATTACTTTAGTGGAACTGTTCGATTAGTCCATTTAGAGTTCCATTATCAATTAGGATGCTTATGCACGTTTGCCTTATCGTCAGTAAGATTTAATGATTGTACACTCAAGAAATCAACTTCAAGTCTATGGCCAACTCGCTTTTATTGAATTATTTCCTATTTAACAGAAATGGTAAAATCAAGATTGGTTGAAAATCGATTACTTTAGCAGAGAATCAGAAAACGCCTAGGAACATATGTTGGCCTTAGAAAATGATGACTGTCTTGAATAAAAACACTTGAACCTATTTCCGACAGAATTGAAGAAACAGATTCCTAATTGGACACATGTTGTGACCGAAAATAAAAGCAGATTTAGCGACATTATTGAAACAAATCCTTTGGATAGGAGTGCCTGAATTCGAAACTGCTTCACTACGTTGACAAGCCTGGCACATTTACGGATATTGAACTACACAAAATACAAAAGCTGATTCATACAAATATTAATTGACTTTTGCGTACTGATAGAATCGTCTTCCTCTTTGCAATGCCAGTTTTGTTCGACCTGTAAATGATAGACACGTGTTATGACTTTCTCTGTTGTCCTCAGAACGTTGATGTGAAAAATTTTGGCAGCAGCTGGGCTGACGGTCTGGCGTTTTGTGCACTCATCCACCACTTCTATCCGGACGCATTCGACTTTTCTACACTCAAGCCGGAGAACCGACGAGCCAACTTCGAGCTCGCTTTCAAGACCGCAGAGTGAGTCCGAAAGTCGTTGATTGTTTGTTGCGGTAAGATTAAAGACTGGTAGGTGTGCTTGGATTCTGTTTGTTTTATTGAAACAATGCAATAAATTTCTGCTTCAAGTGACACTTAGATTCCCTATTCAAATTGCCTCTAAAAGAGCCTCTTGTCAAGTGATTTAACCTTAATGAAAGTGTTTAAACAGCTCTCGTTAGATAATAGTGAACTTCGTCTTTCAGTAAACATCAGAATAATAGGTGCTTTTACCGTACAGTTTACTGAACGTGCAATTAAGACAAACCAGGACAGACTTTAGTTAAAAAGTGTTAGACCACGTACCTCGCACTGTCAATTGACAAGGGCTTATGTCATTCATATGAATTTATTATTATCGTTTGCTCTAACACAACCTTCGATTTTAAGCAATTTAAATACTTGTGGTTGTACCAACCAATATTGATGCAGTTTAGTTTACATATGCTGATTTCTGTAACAGTGCTTTTACTTTACAAAATATTTGACAGGATTAACTGTCAGTCTCGAAAATGGGAAAAGTTTAGTTTGCGCATGCACCTGCCAGTCACTCAGGGCTCCAACGGTTTCCAACAAATTCGCAAGGCAATTTACTCAGTTCGGCCATTAAAACTGACCCAGTTGAAAATAGGCAAAGTGAACTAGGCCCAAATATTTTTCTGCTTGATGCTTTAGTTCCTCCTGTTATCCTAACGTTCAGCCTGTAAGCTATACACATTCGTCCGAAAGTGTTGCGTTTACATGCGCTCTACAGTTTTTGTGTCAGTGGATTTTACTATGAAGAAATTGCTAGTCTGAAAGGAGGAGGAGGAGGACAAAGGCAAACGTTGAGACTGGAAAGTGCGTTGTGCAGAAAATGATGTATATTGTAGAATTCAT